GTTGCATATTGTGCTTACATGAAATTATACAAATACTAATTATTGTTTAAAAATTGTTTTGGACTGCTTTGCATATGTTTGCAATAGTTGCATGGCAACTTACAGTAGTTGGAGGAGATGGAGAAATGTAAAACATTTAATTATTCACCATTGATTCGATGTTATATTGTATTTGTGTAGCGATGAATACAAGACCGCTTCCAGGAAAGTCATAAGTTCACGTAGAACTGTTAAGTAGCCGTGGTAGTGTTTTCTCAGCAGGCTCCCTCTAACACATAGCATGGCGGTTCCCAAAGTCGTTTGACCTTTATAGCTTTCTTTGTCACTAGGGACCAACTATCAGTTTCAAAATTGACAGATTATCATTTAAACTTCTGTGATAATATCTTTGTGTCTAGTCAGTAAAGTGAGGATTACTTTTGTTGTAGCATAGAGAAAAAAAAATTATGACGCAGGTTTCATATGGATCTGTGTGGTATGCACAGGAATCATAAGAAGTATGAAAATATACTAATAAACTAAACATTAATAGTTTTACCATATTTTTTAATGTTAGATGCTATGAAAGAGATACCATCAAAATTTCTATCTAAACTCCATTTAATAATAAGCTAAAGGTATGAAGATGAAAACTACTGTACTTCTTAAAAAAAGTGCCACACTAAAGCCACTAAAATTTTATAAGCCTAGTTTTTCATTTTACAGTAGAAAGTCTTGATCTGCAATAACTGTAGATTATACTGTAGAGGGCAGATATTGAATGACCTTTGCGTTGACCAGGAACAGTCACGTAAGCTTTAATAAGCCTGTCATTATAGATAAACTAGATTGCTCTGTATCCTGGGTCATTGGTTCATGTTCTTGGAATTGTCTGCGGCGTCTCCCAGAACACTGCTTACTTCTAACTGTTGTACAATAGCCTTTTCAGAATTCACTGCCAATTTAATGACAAAGTATATTAAGTTATTGTATGAAAAGCAACCGGAGTACGGTTTATGACAGGCACTAACATTGGCGAAATATTTAAATAATAAATAATTATCATAATTATCAGGATTTATGTGGAAAATGCATTAGTCAGGCAGTTGGTAGGTTACTACTGCATAGGCACACACGGATACTAAATTCATGTTAACACTTACAAGGAAATTGTGATTAGGCCAAAAAAAAAAAAAAAATATACTTGCTTAGTGTCACACCCTCAGAAATTTTCAGGGGCAGGGGGAGGGCAGATTTTTTTTTTGCTGACTTAGGCCTAGCCTAGGCCCTAATGTGTAGGCTTCTTAGGCCTAGAGATTTCAAAAACTGCATTGGTGCCAAGCCAAATTTTTTACAAAGGCTATAACAGACACTAAATTTTACATAAAAGATTTGTTTGTACAATATTTATTTTAATAAGCATTGTGGTTCCGTAGGCAAACTGCTGCAGTGCTAGGCTAGGCCTGTGCCAGGTGGGCCTAGCCATACTTACTACTAGCTAAGGGTCTAGGCCTAGTTAGGTAGTACTTAGGCTAGGCCTAACTAAAACATCTGCCAATTGAAGCGTAGGTCGTAACCTATTATTTTTCTTCATAGTACTTTATTATCATCATATTTAAAACATTGTTTATTATCTAAAAAGTTAACCAAATAAAAACATGTATGCCTACGATCAAATTGTCCGCGATTTCTGTCAACAAGCACAGTGTATGAGGGAATCTATTTTTTCTGCAGAAAAAGAAAACACTTGATGGCGTACTTCACATCTTGTTCCCTGTGCTGAAGATGAAAAAACGATCGTTTTTCCTCTATTAATCAGCATTTTTAGTCGATTTTCAGCACTTTTTTACCAAAAAAAAAAAAAAAAAAAATGAGAGACAGCTAGAAAATCAGGGTCGGGCGGTGACGCTAAACAAGTATACATTTTTTTTGGCCTTCCTGCAGGTTTTTCTCTATATTGTGACTTGCAGATAAAAAAGTGTCCCAAGATGCAGACTAAGGTGGAAATGAAAGTAACCTGATTTTTTTGAAATATGTCCTTTTGTACTTTAATATTTTGATTCATTAATTGTAAACCCTGTCTCTTATACACATCTAGATGTGTATAAGACACAGACAATAGCCTTTTCAGAATTCA